ACAATGTTTTCGTCGTGGACCTGTGTTTTGTTGACAGTATTTTGCAGGAAATTAAGTTTATATCTTCTAGTAGAACCAGAATGTTTCCGATATTTTATTCATCTAATAATATCATAATATTAATAGGCTTAACACTTGCACAAAGCTCTGAAAAGTCACTATCAGATAGCCATGACTGTAGGTCCTTGAGACTTAGTAACTTTCTCCAATCTGAATATCTTTTTACTTAAACCGGATTTTCAATATTTTATCTAAAAAATAAAGTTTTGCCAAAATTGTGAATAATATCAAAGCACCGTGGTTTGTCAATTAGTTATTTTGTAGTGGATAAAAACACAGTGTGGCAGGTGATTCCTCTCTTTTCAGGACCAGTAATGCTGGAGAGTGCCAAAAAGTTTGGCAGAAAGTGAATTAGTTTAAATGTGCACAAACATATTTCTTTGCGTTTATAGGAAATAGAATATTCATACCTATCTATATGCTTCTCCAAGATCACAATTTGATTTTTTTTTCATGTTGGATCATCATTAATATGCTCCATTTCACTTTCCAATTTTTGACTTAAAATCAATTCAGCACATGGTATTAAAAGATGATTGTCTCTCTTTGCTCCTTCATTTTGTACGCATTATTTTGGCAATACTAAATTTTGTAGTTCCTCATTCTGACTCTAAGTGACGCTGTTTATCAACGATTTGCTGCATCTGTATGTGTCCGCCTCAGACTCGCCCACAGCAGCCCTGAATAATCAGAGAAAGAAAAGCTCCTCAGTCGCGTTTTCCGTGTCATCGACATCTAAGTGGAATATGTTGGTCTGTCTTTCTTAAATCCGTCGGAATTTGGATTCCTATTTAATCACTGAGGAGTGAAAGCGTCGGAAGTCTTGATATCGACGTCATTTCTGGAGATCTTTTCATCAGACAAGGAAATCTCCGTCGCAGTGATGTGGCACACGGTATTGTTCTTCGTCGTCCTTTCTTCTCTCTCCGTGCTCGGCCAGGTCAGTTACTCCATTCCGGAGGAAATGGCGAAAGGCTCGACGGTTGGAAATATCGCTCAGGATCTGGGATTAGATTTAAAAAGACTGAAATCAGGAAAAGCGCGGATATTCTCCGGGGACAGCACGGAATACATCGAGCTGAACAAAGAGAAGGGCATGCTTCTGATCAAAGAGAAAATAGATCGCGAGGCTCTGTGCGCTAAAACAACACCGTGCGCTCTACATCTACAGATGATTCTGTAGAATCCTATGGAAATGTACACAGTGACCGTTGAAATCACGGATATAAACGATAATGCTCCTACATTTCAGAATAAACAAATGAGGTTTGAGATCAGCGAGTCAGCTGTGACAGGAGCGAGATTCGTGTTAGAGAGTGCAGTCGATGCGGACGTTGGAACAAACGGCCTTCAGAGCTATTCACTTCATCCAACCGATCATTTTGCTTTAGACTTACAGAATCTCGCAGAGGGTCGTAAAAACGTAGAGATGGTTTTACAAAAACCGCTGGATAGAGAGAAACGAGAACGATTTACATTGATGTTAACGGCGATTGATGGAGGTGAGCCAGTGCTGTCCGGCACTCTTCAGATTCATGTTACTGTACTGGACGCTAATGATAACGCCCCTGTTTTCACTCAGAAAGTGTATAAAGCCTCAATAAGTGAAAACTCACCCAAAGGATCCAAACTGACAACGGTTAGCGCGTCAGACGCAGATGAAGGCACAAACGGGCAGGTGACGTATTACATTTCCAATACAGAGAATGATGTTAAAGATGTGTTCGTCATTAATCAATTTAACGGTGAGGTAACATTAAATGGTCAGATGGATTATGAAAAAATAAACCATTATCAACTAGTTATTGAAGCTAGAGATCAAGGTGGTCTGTCAGACTCGTGTAAAATGATTATTGATGTGCTGGACATAAACGATAATAAACCAGTTATAACCGTTATGTCCATGTCTAACTCAATATCAGAAGATTCTCCTTCTGGCACGGTCGTTGCAATGTTGAAAGTAAACGATCCAGATTCATCCGCGAATGGGCGAGTTCAGTGCAGTATTAGTGAACATATTCCATTTGCTATCTCATCACCATCCAACAACTTCTTCAGTCTGCGCACAGAGCAGGAACTGGACAGGGAGAGAGAGTCTGAGTACAACATCACTGTGCTGTGCTCTGATGAGGGAGTTCCCTCACTCTCCAGCAGCGCTTCTCTCCGTTTACTCCTTTCAGATGTGAATGATAATGCTCCTGTCTTTGAGAGAAGGAGCTACGAGGCCTTTGTGCTGGAGAACAACACACCAGGTCTCTCTATCTTCACAGTGAAGGCCAGTGACGCAGACTCGAACCAGAATGCGCGCGTTTCTTACATTTTAGACGACAGCACTGTTAATGGGGTTCCTGTATCATCATATGTGTCAGTCAGTGCTGATAGCGGAATCATTAATGCCGTGCGCTCTTTCGACTACGAGCAGTTAAAGGACTTCCATTTCCGCGTCAAAGCGCAGGATGGAGGCTCCCCTCCACTCAGTAGTAACGTGACAGTGAGGATCAAAATCCAAGACCAGAACGACAACGCTCCTCAGGTTCTGTACCCAGTACAGACTGGTGGCTCTGTGGTGGCTGAGATTGTGCCTCGTTCAGCAGATGTTGGCTATCTGGTGACTAAAGTGGTGGCTGTTGATGTGGACTCTGGACAGAATGCCTGGCTCTCCTACAAACTCCAGAAAGCCACAGACAGGGCGCTGTTTGAAGTGAGCCCACAGAATGGAGAGATACGGACTGTGCGCCAGGTCACTGATAAAGATGCAGTGAAACAGAAGCTCACTGTTGTTGTGGAGGATAACGGACAGCCGTCTCGCTCAGCTGTAGTGAACATCAATGTAGCTGTAGCGGACAGTTTCCCTGAAATGGTCTCGGAGTTCTCGGACTTTACGCACAGCAAAGAATACAACGATAACCTGACTTTTTACTTAGTTTTAGCTCTGGCTGCTGTTTCTTTCCTTTTCATTACTACTGTAGTAGTTATAATATCAGTGAAGATCTACAGATGGAGACAGTCTCGTATTTTCTATCAGTCCAGTCTCCCAGTTATTCCGTACTATCCACCCGGTTACGCAGACACAGGAGTTACTGGAACTCTGCCGCACATGTACAATTATGACGTTTGTATGACGACAAACTCGAGGAAAAGCGACTGTAAATATTCTACACTTGGTGGACAGAGTGTTTTAGTGGTGGACCCGAGTTTCTCAGAAACTCTGCAGCGCGCGATAAAGGAGAAGAATCTTTTGGAAGAACCCGATTCTCCTGATTTGGTAAGAGTTTGGTGTATTTTTTTTTTTTACTCTAGATACTGTGGCAATATTTTAAAAGACTACGTTTTCCTTACATCACATGACTTTTACTTGTTGCTGGTGAACCTTTCTTCTTTTCTGTGTCTAGTATTTTACAACGGACTTCACGATTCACGCTAAAATAATGTTGAATTATTGCAGTTGATTTCCAAATGGTTGCCCATTCCGTTTTTATATGGTACACCTATATTTAGAACAATGCTTCATTCATTATTCTTTAAATTATGAAAAATTGGCTTCAAATTTATGTGATTCATTTGTGTCATAAGGTTGCATACATATTAATATTTATATAAATTAGATTTGTTGATGCTTCATTTTTATTCTTGTGCAGTCGACTGACATTATGAGCCCTGTAAAGCCAAAGCATCATATTTTCATTCTGTTGTTCGGCGCATCTCAGCACCACATTGTCTGGACAGCTCCAGACAGTCATGCTTATTCAAGACTTTGATTTTTTTTTCTTTTTATCTTACCATTGTTGAGCTGATACATGACTCATTGGAACATTATTTTATTCTTATTTCACGTGGTGACCAGAATATTTGGGTGGTAAACTTGATTTGTGCAGAGATTATTTGGAGCTTGATGACGAAATGAAAATATTCTAGTTGAACCTGATTTTCCAAATTTGCAAAGGGCTTAATATAGTACATTTTGAAATCGAATTCTAGTTTTAAAAAGGCTTAAACATTGTACAAATCTCTGAAGTGTCTCCATTAGGTGGACATGATCACCCGATTGTGCTTAACTTCTACGTTTATTTGCTGTGTTGTCTAAGCATAAAAGCTTTAAGCAAGTTGATAACGTCACAATGACATGGGTTTGTCAGTGCTTTACTAAGTAGTGAAGTCAGTTAAAATGTGGAAAGTGATTTTCTCTTTTCAGCACCGTCAATGCTGCACAGCACCTAACACTTAAAAATAAATGAATAAATAAATAAAATAATAATAATAATAATAATAATAATAATAATAATAATAATAATGATAATAATAATAATAATAATAATAATAATAATGTCACTTATTTTAAACATATGCGTGCCTTCTTTGTTGGCGTTTGAGGAAATAGTACAAGTTTTCTTTCTTTATAATTTTAATTGATACACTTATGTTTATTTATTTATTTTTTTTGTGGTGTCCTTGCTAAAACTAAACTAGAACAGTTGTCTTTTTATTTTTTTTTTTTTTGTTTGTTTTTTTAATGACTTTTTCATGTGGTACTGAGATATTTTATACACTTCATTTACTTATTTATTTATTCATTCTATAAGTTGAAGTTACACAAATTTAATGTTGAAAGACAATGATTCGTATTTTTGCCAATATTTGGCAAGGGAAGTTTTGTAATTCCTAATTCTGACTCAAAGTGACGCTGTTTAACAACGATAGGCTCCCTCTGTATGTGTCCGCCTTAGACTCGCCCACAGCAGCCTGAATAATCAGAGACGAACAAGCTTTCCAGTCGCGTTATGAGATTCTCCGTCGTCTGAGTGGAATATTTCGTGTATTGCTTTGATATCAATAGAATCCGGATCTATATTTGATGACTGCAAAGTTAAGGCATTGAGCGTCTGGACTGGATATTATTTTTGAAGATCTTCTCTGCAGATTAGAAAATCGCCATTGCAGTGATGTGGCGCAAGGTATTGTTCTTAGTTGTCCTTTCTTCTCACTCCGTGCTCGGCCAGGTCAGTTACTCCATTCCGGAGGAAATGGCGAAAGGCTCGACAGTTGGAAATATCGCTCAGGATTTGGGATTAGATTTAAAAAGACTGAAATCAAGAAAAGCGCGCATCTTTACGGAAGACAGCACGGAGTACATCGAGCTGAATAAAGAGAGGGGGGCGCTTCTCATCAAGGAAAAAATAGATCGCGAGTCTCTTTGTGCTAAAACGACCCCCTGCGCGCTGCATTTTCAAATAATTCTGGAGAATCCGATGGAATTATATTCTATTACCGTCGAAATTACGGATATAAATGATAACGCTCCGTTTTTCCAGACAGAGGAAATCAGGTTTGAGATTAGTGAATCAGCTGTAACTGGAGCTAGATTTACATTAGAGAGAGCAATAGATGTGGACGTTGGTATCAATGGCCTTCAGAGCTACTCTCTAAAACCAACAGATCATTTTGTTTTAGAATTACAGAGTCAGACAGACGGAGATAAGAGAGTGCAAATGGTTTTACAAAAACCTCTTGATAGAGAAAAACAAGAGAGATTCACATTGTTACTGACAGCGAATGATGGAGGTGAACCGGTGCTGTCTGGTTCAGTGAAAATACACATTACTGTTCTAGATGTAAATGATAACGCTCCTGTATTTACTCAGAATGTATATAAAGCTACATTATCTGAAAACGCAGCTAAAGGCACGAAATTGACGACTGTGGGCGCAACTGATGCAGATGAAGGCTCCAATAGTCTTATTACGTACATTATGTCAAAAACTGTGGATAGTTTGTCAGATTTGTTTATTGTTGATCAGTACAGTGGTGATGTCATCTTAAATGGCGAAGTTGATTTTGAAAAATCGAGCAATTATCAGCTTGAGATTCAAGCAAAAGACCAAGGAGGACTTTCTGACACATGTAAGTTAATTGTTGATGTTTTAGATGTGAATGATAACACACCTTCGATTAACATTATCTCTAAGTCTAACTCTATATCTGAGGAGTCTAAGCCTGGCACTGTTGTTGCTATGATGAAAGTAAACGATCCAGATTCAGGTATGAATGGCCAAGTTCATTGCAATATAAACGAGAATATTCCTTTTGCTATCATATCACCATCCAACAACTTCTTCAGTCTGCGCACAGAGCAGGAACTGGACAGGGAGAGAGAGTCTGAGTACAACATCACTGTGCTGTGCTCTGATGAGGGAGTTCCCTCACTCTCCAGCAGCGCTTCTCTCCGTTTACTCCTTTCAGATGTGAATGATAATGCTCCTGTCTTTGAGAGAAGGAGCTACGAGGCCTTTGTGCTGGAGAACAACACACCAGGTCTCTCTATCTTCACAGTGAAGGCCAGTGACGCAGACTCGAACCAGAATGCGCGCGTTTCTTACATTTTAGATGACAGCACTGTTAATGGGGTTCCTGTATCATCATATGTGTCAGTCAGTGCTGATAGTGGAGTCATTAATGCCGTGCGCTCTTTCGACTACGAGCAGTTAAAGGACTTCCATTTCCGCGTCAAAGCGCAGGATGGAGGCTCCCCTCCACTCAGTAGTAACGTGACAGTGAAGATCAAAATCCTAGACCAGAACGACAACGCTCCTCAGGTTCTGTACCCAGTACAGACTGGTGGCTCTGTGGTGGCTGAGATTGTGCCTCGTTCAGCAGATGTTGGCTATCTGGTGACTAAAGTGGTGGCTGTTGATGTGGACTCTGGACAGAATGCCTGGCTCTCCTACAAACTCCAGAAAGCCACAGACAGGGCGCTGTTTGAAGTGGGCCCACAGAATGGAGAGATACGGACTGTGCGCCAGGTCACTGATAAAGATGCAGTGAAACAGAAGCTCACTGTTGTTGTGGAGGATAACGGACAGCCGTCTCGCTCAGCTGTAGTGAACATCAATGTAGCTGTAGCGGACAGTTTCCCTGAAGTGGTCTCGGAGTTCTCGGACTTTACGCACAGCAAAGAATACAACGATAACCTGACTTTTTACTTAGTTTTAGCTCTGGCTGCTGTTTCTTTCCTTTTCATTACTACTGTAGTAGTTATAATATCAGTGAAGATCTACAGATGGAGACAGTCTCGTATTTTCTATCAGTCCAACCTCCCAGTTATTCCGTACTATCCACCCGGTTACGCAGACACAGGAGTTACTGGAACTCTGCCGCACATGTACAATTATGACGTTTGTATGACGACCAACTCGAGGAAAAGTGACTGTAAATATTCTACACTTGGTGGACAGAGTGTTTTAGTGGTGGACCCGAGTTTCACAGAGACTCTGCAGCGCGCGATGAAGGAAAATAATCTTCTAGACGACCCCGAGTCTCCAGATTTGGTAAGAGTTTGTTATAACACATCAGAACTGGACAGGGAGAGAGGGAACGTTTCATGTTATTTGAAACGTATACATATTTCAATATATATATATATATATATATATATATATATATATATATATATATATATATATATATATATATTTGGACAGTGTATTGCAATATTTTTCTTTGCAAAGTTTCTCCGTTTCCAGTTTCCTTTGCTTTAAAGCTTACTATATCATTTATGTTTAAAGTGACAGTGTTTTTGTGGAACGTAAAACTATATGAGTTGGCATTGCGTTGGTATACAATGACATAAGCTGCTTTATCATTTAACATTAATTTAAAAGTTCACCGACGTCTTATATGTATATATGTTTTCGAAATTGATATAATTCAGATGTTTCTAGTGATTACGCAAATAATTATTTCATAAACATTCGTTGTCTTCCAGTTTACTCTTTTGGCAAGAGTTGTATTGATGTAATATATATTGTGGGTCTACAATTGATAGACCTGTCTAAATTAAGTAAAGCCATCACTATTTTGTGTTCGAACTGTTCAGCACTTTTCAGCACCACTGATTCTGGACAGCTCCGGACAGTTTTATACATCAGTGATTTCAACCTCTATTCAACGCACTTATGTCTTCCTGTGGCATGTTAGTATATTTTGTTTAGGGGAAAAAAAACAAAAAAAAAAAAAAAAAAACATTTGTACAAGGTTGTGATTTTGTCTTACTCTGGGTTAAGCTGATAGAAAATGCATTACAACAGTTTTCTCTTTAAATTTTACTTGGTGTTCATAACGTTTTGGTCGTGCCCTCAAGTTTCACTGAGACTATTTAAAGTGAAATTAAGGAAATATATTCTAGCAAAACCAGAATGTTTGTTATGATGCCTTTTATTCCATTGATAGTATTATAATGTTAACAAACTCAAAAATTGCAGAATTCTTTGAAAAGTCATTACAAGATGGCCTTGACTGCTGCGCCTGGAGACAGTGGACATTTTCTCCTGTCCAAATATCCATGAACTCAAACCTCACTTTATTGTGTGGTCTAAAAATAGAAAGTTTGGTCAGAATTGTTAATGATGTCAAAGACACATGGATTGCCAATGAATTATTACGTGTTGGCTTAAAACACAGTGTGGCAAATGACTCCTCTTTTTTTCCGGACCAATATTGGTGGAGAGGGTTAGTTTGGAAGGGAAACAAGGCATGTTATGTTTAGACAAACCTACGTTTTGGGTTACTCAGAAATACTATTTTTTTCCACTCTACATGTTTATTCAAGACTACAAATTTATTTTTTTCAGTTTTCTTCTGATTTAAACTGCACCAGATTAGTTTCCTAATTTTCACTCAAAATCACTTCAATTCGTGATGTAGAAAGTTTACTTTGCAAACTATCTATCTATATGTTTATTTATTGATTCATATTTTTATTGCTGTGTTTGATTCTATTTTGAAAATCATTATTTCATATTTTACGCAGTAACTTGGCAATATAAATTTTGTAATTCCTCTTTCTGACTCTAAGTGACGCTGTTTATCAACGATTTGCTGCATCTGTATGTGTCCGCCTCAGACTCGCCCACAGCACCCTGAATAATCAAAGAAAGAAAAGCTCCTCAGTCGTGTTTTCCGAGTCATCGACATCTGAGCGGAATATGTTGGTCTGTCGTTCTTAAATCCGTCAGATCTCGATCCTTTCTTAATGACTAATGAAATAAAGCATTGGAAGTCTGGATTTCGACGTCATTTCTGGAGATCTTCTCAGCAGATAAGGACATATCTATTGCAGTGATGTGGCACACGGTATTGTTCTTCGTCGTCCTTTCTTCTCTCTCCGTGCTCGGCCAGGTCAGTTACTCCATTCCGGAGGAAATGGCGAAAGGCTCGACGGTTGGAAATATCGCTCAGGATCTGGGATTAGATTTAAAAAGACTGAAATCAGGAAAAGCGCGGATATTCTCCGGGGACAGCACGGAATACATCGAGCTGAACAAAGAGAAGGGCATGCTTCTGATCAAAGAGAAAATAGATCGCGAGGCTCTGTGCGCTAAAACAACACCGTGCGCTTTACATCTTCAGATGATTCTCGAGAATCCGATGGAAATGTACACAGTGACCGTTGAAATCACGGATGTAAACGATAATGCTCCATTATTCCAAACAGAAGAAATCAGTTTCGAGATTAGCGAGTCAGCTGTAACAGGAGCGAGATTCATGTTAGATGGAGCAGTGGATGCGGACGTTGGAACAAACGGTCTTCAGAGCTATTCACTTAAACCAACAGATCATTTTGTTCTAGAATTCCAAAACCACGCAGATGGAGAAAAAAACGTAGAGATGGTTTTACAAAAACCGCTCGACAGAGAGAACAAGGAAAAATTTACATTGATGTTAACAGCGATTGACGGAGGTGAGCCAGTGCTGTCCGGCACTGTCCAGATACATGTTACTGTACTGGACGCTAACGATAACGCTCCTGTTTTTACCCAGAAAGTATATAAAGCCGTAATAACTGAAAATTCACCAAAAGGATCCAAACTGACAACCGTCAGCGCCTCTGATGCAGATGAAGGCTCAAACGGACAGGTGACGTATCACATTTCAAAAGTAGACAACGATGTCAAAGATTTGTTCATAATAAATAAAGAAAATGGTGAAATATTCTTAAGTGGACAAATTGACTATGAGAAGACAAGCCATTATCAACTTGACATTAAAGCTAGAGACCAAGGTGGACTTTCAGATTCGTGTAAATTAATTATCGATGTACTAGATGTTAACGATAATAAACCAACTATAACTATAATGTCTATGTCTAACTCTATATCAGAAGAATCACCTTCAGGCACCGTCGTTGCAATGTTGAAAGTAAATGATCCTGACTCATCCGCGAATGGGCGAGTTCAGTGCAGTATTAGTGAACAGATTCCGTTTGCTATCACTTCACCATCTAACAACTTCTTCAGTCTGCGCACAGAGCAGGAACTGGACAGGGAGAGAGAGTCTGAGTACAACATCACTGTGCTGTGCTCTGATGAGGGAGTTCCCTCACTGTCCAGCAGCGCTTCTCTCCGTTTACTCCTTTCAGATGTGAATGATAATGCTCCTGTCTTTGAGAGAAGGAGCTACGAGGCCTTTGTGCTCGAGAACAACACACCAGGTCTCTCTATCTTCACAGTGAAGGCCAGTGACGCAGACTCGAACCAGAATGCGCGCGTTTCTTACATTTTAGATGACAGCACTGTTAATGGGGTTCCTGTATCATCATATGTGTCAGTCAGTGCTGATAGTGGAGTCATTAATGCCGTGCGCTCTTTCGACTACGAGCAGTTAAAGGACTTCCATTTCCGCGTCAAAGCGCAGGATGGAGGCTCCCCTTCACTCAGTAGTAACGTGACAGTGAGGATCAAAATCCAAGACCAGAACGACAACGCTCCTCAGGTTCTGTACCCAGTACAGACTGGTGGTTCTGTGGTGGCTGAGATTGTGCCTCGTTCAGCAGATGTTGGCTATCTGGTGACTAAAGTGGTGGCTGTTGATGTGGACTCTGGACAGAATGCCTGGCTCTCCTACAAACTCCAGAAAGCCACAGACAGGGCGCTGTTTGAAGTGGGCCCACAGAATGGAGAGATACGGACTGTGCGCCAGGTCACTGATAAAGATGCAGTGAAACAGAAGCTCACTGTTGTTGTGGAGGATAACGGACAGCCGTCTCGCTCAGCTGTAGTCAACATCAATGTAGCTGTAGCGGACAGTTTCCCTGAAATGGTCTCGGAGTTCTCGGACTTTACGCACAGCAAAGAATACAACGATAACCTGACTTTTTACTTAGTTTTAGCTCTGGCTGCTGTTTCTTTCCTTTTCATTACTACTGTAGTAGTTATAATATCAGTGAAGATCTACAGATGGAGACAGTCTCGTATTTTCTATCAGTCCAGTCTCCCAGTTATTCCGTACTATCCACCCGGTTACGCAGACACAGGAGTTACTGGAACTCTGCCGCACATGTACAATTATGACGTTTGTATGACGACAAACTCGAGGAAAAGTGACTGTAAATATTCTACACTTGGTGGACAGAGTGTTTTAGTGGTGGACCCGAGCTTTACAGAGACTATGCAGCGCGCAATGAAGGAAAAAAGTCTTTTGGAAGATTCGGATTCTCCAGATTTGGTAAGCACTTACTCTAAATAGTTTTTGGTTTTAGATACGGTTGCAATAGTTTAATAGCGCACAGTTTCCATAAATTTTGGCGTGAAAACCTCACATGACTTTTGTCTATGAATTGATTTGAAATGGTCATGTCTGGTCAGTCCGTTGTTGTTTAGTGAAGTAAATATCTACGAAGAGCAATGTTTCATTTATTATTCTTTGAACTATGAAAGTTGGTTTTAAATTTATTATTTTAATGCGTCATAAGGTTGCATACAGATTAATTTGTTGATGCATCATTTTCGTTCTTGTGTAGTCGACTGACATTTTGAGCCAATGCACATTATAACCAACGCATCATGTTTTCATTCTATTGCTCAGCGAATTTCAGCACCACTTTTTCAGGACAGCTCCAGGCAGATTGAAATTCCAGAAATTTTGTGTTTTTTAACACTGCTTTGTGTGTTTATGTACTAGTTATTTGATATGCTGTCGGATAATTATATCTATTTTTGGCAACAAATTGCTCATCCAAGACTTTGATTTTATCTGTTGCCTGTTGCTTAGCTGATACTAAGTCCAGGTGGTGATCAAAATATTTTGGTGGTGGACCTGAGTTTTGCAGAGATTATTTAGAACATGAAGATGAAATGTAAATCTTCTAGTTCAACCTGATTCTCCAACGTTGCAAAGGGCTTGCTGTAGTATATTTCAAACCTTAGGTCGTATCCTCTTTTTAAATAAAGGCTTAAAGATTTCGCAAATCTCTGAAATGACACCATTAGATGTGCAT